TTCCATTCAGGGATTACGGGAGAGACCACAATGGCCCCGCAAGAAAGGGAGAATACACAATGAGCTCGCATTCTTTTGTGGGAATGTTTGTACCTGTGCCAAATTAAGGCCCTTGATTTATAGTGGTCTATTTTTCCCTTCGGTGTGCACCATCAGCCCTCTCCCAGAAGCCTCTTACCACTTTCAGGAAGAAGAACACGTGTGCTTCAGAAGCCGCACTGATTAGCCAGGGATCTCAGGTAAGGTCAGGGTCACTGAGAGATTCAGGGTAACTGTCATTCGGGCTGCAAAGGGGTCTACTCTGCGTGATGCATTCACTGCGCAGGAGGCTTGGCTGCCGTCTGATTCAAGCCTGGTTTGCAATGACAGCCCTGCAGCAGTGACCAGGGGACCCAAGCCAATGACTAGTGCTCTGCTTCTGCAAGCATGGAAGCAGAGGAGTCAGGCTGCTAGGTTCTCAGCTGCCAGCTCCACATGCTACGACCCGAAGAGTGCTCTGCTAGCAGCAGACCCAGCTCCCAGGAAAGATGGGTGTCATGCCGAGAACTGGCTGCCAACATTTTAGGTGTGCACTCACGCACTCTTTGGGATCCTCCCAGAATCATCTGGAGACCATTCCAACTGGCTGAACTGGTGCCTACAGAGGGGTGGTCGACATCCTCGTTTGGGGACAAACGAGCCTATTCTGCACCCAGGATTCTCAGTCCCCATTCTGAATTCACAGCCAGCCAACGGCAGGAACACACCTAAGCTGGTTAAGCCTTTGCACTTTCCAGAGATCGAATCTGGGGCTGGCTAAGTTGCAGGGCCAGAAATGCACAGAGCTCAGCCCACTGCCAAGAAAAGGCAACACTTAACAAATAGTGCTGTAATTGTCATCGTTGTTGCTAACACCCGGCCCTCAGTGCCTCTAGTCATAAGGCATCTCCCTAAGGGGTGCTCTCAGCGTGCCTCTACCTTAATCATCCCAAGAAGGAAGGTCCCACGTAGGGGACTCGGGGGTTGTTGTGTGGCTTCAGAAACTAAGATCATTGTAATGATAACATCTAATATTTAGGTCTTGATGTGCACTAAGCTTTAGGAGAAGCACTTTACCCTGCATGTAATCCTCTCTGCAGACCCATGCCTATTATTCTAATTGGAGAAGAGAGGAAACAGAGGCCTGGAGAGTGGACTAACTTGCCCTGGGACATACGCAGTGGGACCAGGAGCCAGGATTTGGGGGCCCTGAGCAGCCTGACTCCAGAGTCCACTCCACTAGACTGTCCCATAGGTGGGACGCAGAACAGGACCAAAAGCAATCCGCCCTAACACTCCTCCCCCAAAGCCTGCCACGGAGCAAAAAGAAGGTGGCACGTGAGAGTCAGGCTCTGAAGCTATTTCTGTTTTGAAAGTCACTAAGAACATCACAAGAGCCCTTGTGACCCGACCCCCAGTTCACGCTTCGAGTTGCTCATTCCTGCAATGAGTGCCCCTGAGCATCTCTGGCAAACCCAAGATGGCACAGGTAATGTCAGCGTCTCTCGGACGAGGCCCCCTCCACTAACGGGGCATGGGAAATCCAAAGAGGCCAGGGGTCGCGTCTTTACTATGCACCACTGCGTCTCTGCTGCGGAAACGGACTGAATGAATGCAAAACAAAGGAAACTACTCCACAGAAGCGGAGGATGAAAACAGACCCTTAAAAAAAAAAAAAAAAAGCACCTGTAGGTAACGATGCCTATCCCATAATGTCATCTATATGTTCATGTTGCAAAAAATAACGAGACGTTAGCAATTTCAGGATTAGTGTTCTCTTACTCTATTTCCCTCAACAAGAAACAGGATCTGCTCTGCATTAGAATTATAGCAAGAACTGGCCCTTAGCAGGAACCATATGATTTTAATGCACAGATGAATTTCAATTAGACATTTACCTAACCATGCTGATGTGTTTTAAATTTAACCCTAAATTACAGACTTTCCAAATAACTCTGCTCTTCCCTCTGCTTCTCTCTCTTCAATTTTGGTTTGGTTTTGTGAAAGGTCTGCTGGTAAAAATGAAGCAATACCAGTAACTTATCTACAAATTACGGGAAGGAGAAAGTAGGTTAAAAAAGATCAAGAAACTTAAAACAAGCATGATCAAACCACATCCGAGTTAGGCAGGAAACAATAGGAGACCGTTCTTGCTCAGAGGGAAGGAAGGTGAATCTGACCAGGACTACTGTCAAGCAAGTCATAAATGGGGTTCACCTCCACTCTGCCCAAGTTTCAAGTGCAGTCATCCGAACACAACAAAGTTCGATTCTGCACCCAGGGAAAGGCGATACCCGGAAGGAGAAAGCTGACACTTTCACTTGGGCTGGCAATTCCTTCCACACTCAAAACAATCTCATTTTTGGTTCAGGCATCCACTACAACGAGCAGTTGTGTGTCTATCACAATGGAGGCAGGAACTTCATCCCAAAAGGAGGCCAGCAGGAGAAAGAACAGATCTCCTAATGCTCCCTCTCATTACAGGGTTCGACCAAAGTGGGTATCCCAAGCTGAGCGGTCGCCAGGAACTTTGTGCAATTTGCTTTTGCTCAAATTGCAAACCCCAAGCGTTGAGGCCAGTATCCTGCTGTGACACTGTACTAGAGTTTTGTAAGATGTAACCACTGGAGGATGACCAGGGCAAGGGGTATGATTATTTCTCACAACTGCATGCCTATCAATCACAATGAAAAAACCTGCAAACCCCAGCACCCCAAAGATCTCTGCGTTCATCTCTCGGAATACCAAGTCAAACTTTGGCACTGAATGTCTTACAGGAAGACCTTCTGGGACAAAGCCTGAGCAGTGACCAAAGAAAGTCCAAAGGGTCTCAGCACATCCCAGCTTGCTATTAACGTAAATGCCGTATGGGTCTGTAGAGGCTGCGTGGGGAGGGAGCACATCCAATGGCAAACACATGCCCCGTCTGATGGTGGGGGCCGCCTCGGAGAAGCTTGCTGCTCGGAAACATGTGTATAATGGGGACCAGACCTGCTGACTGTTCAACGCAATCCCGAAATCTGGAGTTTTATGTGGAACTTCCTAAATGTTAAAGTTGGTCATCCATAAAATTTTCTTTTAAATACTTGGAAGACCAAACCAAACAGCTCTGAGGGCTGGACTGGACCCCTCACATACCTGATGGACACTTTCAATATATTTCCCTCCCATCCTCACCAACAGCCCTCCGGAGTTGGACCTGCTCTCCCTGTTTTCTAAATGGGGTGAAACAATGTGCGTGAAGGGAGCTGGCGGGCCTCAGCAGCTCGGACTGGAAGGCCCCATGGGTTCTGTGGAGTCAGCACACCACTGCTTGCATTCAGTCAGCAAGACAGAGTTTAAGAAAGTTGCAGAGAAATGTCTCCAGCTCCATAAACACGAAGTCAGTTCCACGTGTGCTCATCTATGGTGTCCTGGCATGGGCCCCGAGGGGAGTCCTTCCCGGTTCAGTATTCGTCACCCTGTCGCCTCTAGGTTACATCCTCTCGCCAAAAGCTACTCCTTCCCTTTAGAGCACTTCTAAGACTTGCGATAGTACATTTGTTTGTCTATTTGATCAACATCAGTCTCTCCTACTGGACTATAAAGCTCCAACAAGACAGACTATTTAGGATTTTGTATATCCGCAGAGTTAGCACAGTGCCTGATCTAAAGAAAGGGCTTAATAAACACTTGTTGAATGAATCAAAGAAGGGATAGGCCAGACAGAGGCCATGAAAGGGCCCCATTCAACTCAGCTGAACTAATGCCACCACCAACAAGGCCAGAAAGTTTCTGGGAACCTTTTCAGAGGCTCTATGACTCCCTTCAACAGCCAAATGGCCCAGCCAAGCCACCATACACCAGAAAAACCAGCAGGGCAGGGACTCCTGTCACTGCATTCCGGGCGGTCTTGGCCTTTCGCACTACAGGATCACACTCCACCCACCTGCTAGCTCAGGTATGGCAACAGAGTCGACTGCCCAAGGGCAAACCTAGCCCTGTTGCCTTTGTGCCTATTGCCTGAGAAACCGGTTGCAGAGACAGAGTGCTCCCCAAACAGCCTCTGTGTGAAACACTGTGCTCATCTCAGATACATATGCCAAGCCCAAGCTGCAACAGATACGAGGAGACAAGGTGCCCGCCAGAGCTGCTTAAAGCTGCTGCAAGCAGAGGGAACCTGGGGCAAGGGCCTTCCCGGGTGCAGGTACGGTGAAGTCACAGGGACAAAGGCAGAAACACAGAGCATGCTGGGGAAAAAGCAAGCTGGACCGGTACCAAGGAAGCCTGGAGTTCAGGACACAGGAGCAGGATGGTAGGAGGGAAGACAGGCAAGAGACACAGGGGCCAAGCTGGGAAAACCTGGGAAGAAATCATAACACCAGTCTCGGGAGTCTTCCCTTAGCAGAGTGCAAAATGCACAAACATGCACAAACCACAGATGTGCTCTGTTTAGGCCACAGCTGGGTCATCGTTTAAAACTCGGGAGTGTTTGCATCCAAATGGAGATTTCCAGCTTCTCTGGAAATATGAGGAAACCAGGAACTACTGCATCCATATTCCTGCAGAACTGACAAAGGATGCATATGCTCTCCAATTTGCCACAGTCCCCACCCTTCCCTACTACTCTCTCATGGGGGTCCACATCATGCATAGATGTTCTCTGTCCAGCCTCTGTAGGTATTTGTGCCTTAGATAAGTATTCTCTCATTCCGTCCCAGTAACAGTGTCTCACAGATACATAACCTGGGGCCCAGAGCAGTACAATTTCCTGTTCAATAACATACGATCAATCAGATCCACTCAGTACCCAACCCAGGTTTTCCTGGGTACACATTTCAAGACTCTGATTAGGTTCCTTGAATCCCAGACCAGCTTACACATCATCATTGCTATAGAGGTAGAATGTTGCGGTTTCTGGTTTTAGAGAAACACACACATGAGCAAACTGAGCAGCGGCTTCTTATCAAGGTCTAGGAACAGTCCCAACACTAATGACTTACACAACTTCTCTGAACATCCTGTTCGGTCTTAGCGTACATCTCAGAAAGATCACCATTCAGAATGACTTCAGCTAACGAGTTCACCAGGGGTGCGTGATGTATAATTAGGAAGACCTGGTGAGAAAGAAGACATCGGATTTGCATTAAAGGCTGCAATCTCTCCACCTCTCCCTTTCTGGATCAGAAACAACTAGGTTGGGCTACTTAGGCCCTGTGTTGAGCAGCATTCCCCATGAAGCAAAATCCAAAGAATGGGTCCCATTTAGGAGAAGCCAGTGATGCCGCTCTCCATCCAGGGTCGGCCCCTCCTTCATTCAGACTGTTGCCTATTTGGCTGGCTGCTCCCCAGCGGAAGGAAGTGCATTAAAGCAAGACTGTCCCTCATGGCTGGGGGAAGCCAAATCCGGCTGATGTGGAACAACGTGGGAAAGCAGCAGCCAAACCAGCACACTCCTTCCTCTCCACAGGCATTTTAGTGTCAAATTTGATTATACTAAGACTGGAAGGCACAGGCCCAGCATTTCAGTTAGACGGGAAGAAGGGGCCGGCGAGTCTTGTTCCAATCAAGGACTTGGCAGAGGGTTGGCTACCCAGAGATTCCATCGCTGGAATGAGCTCTGACCCCTGCGGTGGGTTTCAGCACACCAAGATTTCATGGCAGTGATGGGAGGTGTGGACGCTGTGGGGAAGGAAGGCCACACGAGCCAGAGTCGGGCCTAGTTGTACCAGCATGCAAAATCAGAAGGCGCTGCGCTGTCTGGGATGGCCCTGCTACCCCACCCTGTTGCCCAATGCTCAAAAGAACAGCTTTGGGAATCAGGGTATTCAAAGCTGCCTCTGCGAAGCTGGCTCAGACACACCTGCTACTTTGTTTTAAAATATAAAGACGAGGGGTGCCTGGGTGGCTCAGTTGGTTAAGCAACTGCCTTCAGCTCAGATCATGATCCCAGGGTCCTGGGATCGAGTCCCGCATCGGGCTCCCTGCTCGGCGGGGAGTCTGCTTCTCCCTCTGACCCTCCCCCCCTCATGTGCTCTCTCTCTCATTCTCGCTCTCTCAAATAAATAAATAAAATCTTTAAAAAAAATAAAAATAAAATAAAATATAAAGACGATGCCAGTGGTGTAGCACAGCTTGGGACACACCCACCATTTATACAGAAAAAGGGTGTGTGTGCACATTTGCATTTGCTTACATACACATGGAACAGGATTTCTAAACCCTGGCATTATTATGCGGCCATAATTCCTTATTGCGGGGGGGGGGGGGGTGTCTGTGCATTGTGGGATGTTTGGCAGCATCTCTGGCCTCTACCCAAACAAACATGTCTCCAGATGTTGCCAAACATCCCGGCGGAGGGGGTGGGGGCAAAATCACCCCCAGTTAAGAACCCTCTGCAGGCAACGTCTCTGGAAGGGCACAGGAAAACCCTGTAACTATACTTGTCTCTGGGGACAGAAATCAGGCAATGCAAAAGTAGAAAGGAAACTTGGTTTTCACCTGTTGAACTTTTTAACTTAAAAAATTTATTAAAAACATAAACATTGTTAAAAAAAAAAAAAAAAAGAAGAAGAAGAAGCTGAGCCAGACACTGAAATACTCCTGCATCCAGGCAATGGGACCTGGTGCATGGGGGACGGGAGTAAGAGGGAGATTTCTAGAACGACAGCATCCCCGGTCACACTAAATTAGCATCGTTAACATGAATTTTCTTAGGTTTTATAGCTGTGCTCATTACATAATTTGTAAGGGTGCTTTGACGGAGGAACAAAAGATACGAGATTTCTACCTGATTCGAGGTTTTCACACATTTTGGGCATCAATATGAAAAAGCTAATTGACAACGCAGGGGAGGATGGGCCCTGTGGCTCCAGCTGAGGATGCCAAATCGCATGCTATGCTTTTTGTGAGATACTGAGACAAGTTATTTGGTGCTTGAGCTGCTAGTCCTTCTCTAAGAAAACAGGAGCAAAGGGGTTCTCAGAGAAAGGGCGTGGTCTGACCCCATGCTCCTGAGAGGAGACTGCCCATGCAATGCTCCAACAGCTACAGGGTCCTGGGCGTGCTTTCCACGGGATTCCTGTGGCTGAGCATCTGGCTGCTCAGGTCCTGCCAGACTCCCAGAATCCCAAGCAGGAGGCTCGGGCAGATTTGTAATGAGGTGGCAGAAAAGGGTGCCAGGAGAGGCTGGGGTTTGCACGGAGCTCCATTGCACAGAGGGGCATTCAGAAGGAGTGGGAACTGGTGCAGAGCTCCGGGCAAACAAAGCCCCCAGGACAAGACTCTGAGGGGGGAGAAAGGAGCAGGCTGCGTGTGGACCCCGACTGGCTTAGCCACCAGGGGAGGCCGGGTCTGCAACTCTTCTCAGCCCTGCCTCAATCTCCAAATGGCCCAGGGACCAAGGGCAGAAGGCCTTGGTTCTCTCGGCAAAGCCAATAAATACCTACGCCACTGCAGAAGTGGGAACAGAACTCTGGTCAAACGTTTGACTACTTGACAGTCTAATGAGATGGACTGAAAGTCTGGACTGCTTGTAATAAAAAATATTTTTAAAGTTATGTAACTGGGTCACCATGGAGTTTTTCCCTTCTTGTAAATATTACATAATTACGAGAAGGAAACACACTTGTTTAAGGAGGGGGAGGCAGACAAACTGGCTCAAGACACAAATCTGGGAATGGAGGCTCCTACAAGATACCTTCCAGAAGGTGATCTGGGAACTACAACCACGACAAAAGTCTTTAAAAATAGCCTCATTAGTCGAAGTTTGTTAAACCAAGGCTGCTGCAGGGACATACACACACACAGTGGGTCCTGCAGTTTGGGGCTTATTTCAAAATGCCGTGAATAGGACCCATGCCGTCCACATTTCCACAGTATTTAGAACACTCCTTGGTTGTTTGAAAACCTCAGTCCCCATGGTAAAAACCAAGCACATAAGTGCCAGGTTTGATTTACTTCTCATTTTTCTTTCAATTTCTACCCACTACCATGAACAAGATACCAGCCCCTCTACTCCGTGTCTGAAAAATAGAGACCCTCCCCTTCCTTTTATTGTTGTTTTACTTCAAGATGGGGGATCCCGCAGAAGGAAGACAGGGCGATGTGGCCTGGTCCTCCAAAGGACCCCCAAATGTGGTTGGGGAAGCGGGCAAATGATGAACCATACCTGCGACAGGAGATAGAGAGAAACTGGCAGGCTGATCTTCGGGCGTTCTCCTCCCTAGTGAGGGTTAGGGGAAAGAGACATAGAGAAGTCCAGGTCACACACGTGAGCAGCACAAAATACATGAAGCCAAAAGCCACCTGTCTGAAGGTGAGGCAGCCTGTTCCCCACGTCCCCCACGCCCCCAAGGCTGTTCTTTCCTGGTACTAGTTAAAAGTCCACTCTGCAAAATAAATTCACAATCTAATCCCATCCAATACTATTCTCCAGGCCTCTGTTTTTCCACCTGAGAAATCCTTCACCATTAGTCACGGATTAGAAGCTGGGTCCAAGAGAAGAACTAGCTCCTTAAATTACCAGGAATGTGAATTTCCCCCAGCTGGGGCACCGAGCCCACTGCCCCACAGGAGAGGCCTCTTTTCAGGAAGAGCTTTCGAAATGGGACAAGGAGGGGTTGGGGCACTCTGGCCTTGGAAAAGTCCCTCGTTTGTACTGAACTTCAATGTGCTCCATCCTACATCAACCCTGTGAGGATCTTCAAGACCCTGCTTTGGTTCAGGTAGGTTAGCTGCCTTGGCCAAGGCCACAGAGTGAGGAAAGGGAAGAAGCAGAATTTGAACCCAGGTCTGAAAACTCCAAGTCCCATGCTTTCTCTGCCTCCCAGAGCTGCCTCTGATAGATCTAGTTACGGCTGCAATTTTCTTCTATTTACTGGTTTTTAGAAAGAATCTCCATGTTCCATCTCCAAAAAGAAAGCTACAACCCACTGGGGCACATCCGTAGAGGCTAGAGCCCCTGCACAGTAACCAACTGGCTCCATCCTGCCTCCTGCTGAGGTCTCTGCCCCTTTACTCTGGGAAGGACTGGGCAGAAATTCTCATGATAGGATCTGAGAACGGCCAGCTCAAAGCCACCTGGGGGACAGGTTAAAGATGCAGACTGCGGGTCCACTACAGATCCACGGAGCCAGAATCTGAGATGGAGAGTGGGCCCCCGAGGACGTGCATTTCAATACCCACACAGGATTCTGAGCCTAACTGTGGACAGTCACTGCTCTGGGATCTTTTCCGAAGTGCACTCCAACCCTTCCCATCCATTCTGTGCAAGTTCTGTAGCTGACTGGATCTTCTGCAAATCAAGTCACTCTGGCGACTATCAGAAAAAGTTACCAGGGGCGCCTGGATGGCTCAGTTGGTTAAGCGACTGCCTTCAGCTCAGGTCATGATCCCAGGGTCCTGGGATTGAGTCCCACATCGGGCTCCCTGCTCTGCGGGGAGCCTGCTTCTCCCTCTCCCACTCCCCCTGCTTGTGTTCCCTCTCTCGCTGTCTCTCTGTGTCAAATAAATAAATAAAATCTTTAAAAAAAAAAAAAGAAAAAGAAAAAGTTACCAGGAATGAGAATACCTCAAGAGTAGGATGCACAGAAACCAAAAACCTAAATTCATAGAGGTTTCCTGTTTCCTTCTGGTGTCCTGTTCTTTTCCCATTCACTTTTATAGCTGCCCCCCGCAAAACACACACACACACACACACACACTCCCTCCCTCCCTCCCTCTCAGCCTTCCCTCTCTCCACCTACCCCTCCTCCCCCAGGAAATAAAAGGAAAGGAAAAGAAAACCAGTGTGCTTTTGAAAGGCATCTCTCTCAGGCTCGAAGCCCTGGTCCCTTGCAAAGCTTGGTCCTCTTCAAGGGGACTGTTCTTCCCCCTTCTGAAGACTGCCTTCAGCCCGCAGGCATGGTGGGCCCAGGCCCCCAAACCCACCTTGTCCTGGTTCTCCAGTGAGTACACGTAGAGGGGCAGGAAGAGCCTGTTGAGCAGATGGTCTGTGAGCACATCGTTGAGGAACTCACAGTTGATGATCAGAATGTCATTGAGATAGTGCAGGTGGTCCAGGTGCTCGGCCACCAGGTCACTCAGTTTCCCCCGATTCCGGTGTCTGCCAAGAAAAAGGACAGCCTTAGCCTGGAAGCCAAAGCACAGAGCCTTTGGGCCTTGGCCTAGGACTTGGGTCAGATGGAATGTTTCATTCATACAACAAATATTCACACAACAAACAGGCTCAAGGGACACTTACACTGGCCCTACTGCTGGCATACACAAAGGGAAAATGGGCAGGTGTACCGCAATCCATTGTAGGGGACTCCTGGGGTACCCCCTACCCTCTGGGGGCCTCACTACAACTCCCCCACCCCCACCACCACAGCCCAAAACAAAATGGGTAAATAAAGCAAAACCCAGCTCCCTTAGCAAGCCATTCCACAAGAGTAGCCGCTAGTCAATGTGGCAAGATCCCCCGCCTCCCAAGATAAGGAGTATTAATGGAGCAATAAATCCTTGCTAATTAAAATGCTCCAGAGGAGTTCCAAAAAGAAAAGCAGTCCTCAGCAACCACATCCAACTCCCTGGCCCTGACCATATGGGGGGCACAGTGCAAGGAGGTGACACTCGACCCCAGGCCCAGAGGTCTCTGTCTCCTTCCAGTAAAGCAACAAGCCTGCTGCTTGGGCCCCATGGGTCATCAGTCTTACACTTGCCAAGGACTGAACCCCCAAAACAGCTAGTGGTACACTTTCACTACCCCCAAAGTGGATCTGTTGCAAGGAGCAATGTAGCTGTGGTAAGACATTTTGTTTGTATTATAATTATTACTCAAGTAATAGATGGTCATTTCAGAAGACGGGAAATTGAAGAAGAAAAAGCAAAAGACATCAAGGTCTCCTGTAGTCCAACCACTAAGCGATAACATTTTGGGACTTGCGACCCTACAGTCTGTTTTCCTATTCCCATTTCTATGTCCCTTTATAATCACATCTAAATGCAGGTATTATGTATCTATCCATCTAACCATACGTGCCTTAAAAAAAAAAAAAAGTAAAAATAGGATTGATGTTTCTTTCACATAATTTTTAATAATTCTTATTGTACTCTAATAAGCTATTTAACAAATATACATAGCAAATACATGTTGTAAAGGCTAACAGTATGAGGAGTACCTATGGGCCCACCATCCAGCCGAGACTTAGAACATTTATTTACTATGTTTTGCAACCTTTTCTCCCATTTAATAAGATACTGTGGGAATTTTTCTTCAGCAAGATAGTTAACACACTTCACTTTTTAAACCTTTAGTTTAAAAAAATATATGCAGATGGGTTTAAAAGTTAAAGGGTATTGATAAGCTGATGATAAAATACAGCAGCTCTGGCCCAGTCTCTCCAGAGAAGGCAGGTTTTAACTTTCGAGTTGTTTCCGTGGATAGTTCTCCCCACACCTCTAGAAAATCTTCAAGGTCATCTATTTTGAGCCATTTTAGATATCGTGTAATGACCTCCTGGCATGACGGAACCCTTATCGTTCCCTCCGCCCCTCCCCCTCAGGTCATCAACAAGTGGTGTTGACATCATCAGGACCATTCACCGTAGGGCCACACAGAGGATGAGTTGTCCACTTCCTTCCTGGAATAACTTTTTGTCTTTTCTGGAATCAAGTGCCACATTATGTGTCACATCCATAACTACTCATCTCCATAAAGGTCCTGGTTTTCCCAAATGCCCTGTCGGATCTGCCACCCACCTATGCCCACTTCTTTCCCAGTACTGGGGCTTATATTCTATGGCTTGAGCCCTGTCCCCCAAGAGACCTCCTTCCTGGATCCCCTTATCGTCCCGAGCCCGCCTAGGTGAGCCTCTCTCCAGGGCTCCGCTAAGCTGTCACTCTGGGGCAGTAGTTCTCCACAGATGGCGATTTTGCCTCAAAGGAGACATCTGGCAATGTCTGGGGATGTTTTTGGTTGAAACAACTAGAAAAGGGGCACTGCTGGCATCTTGTGGGTGGAGACCAGGGATGCTGCCAAACATCCTACAGTGCACAGGACGGCCCCCCAGAACCCAGAATTCCCTAGTTCCAAAGATCAATAGTACTGACTTGGAGGAATCTTGCTCTGGGACTTGTATTCATCATTCTGGGCCCAAATCACCATCTTAATCTGTTGTTTTGTTTGTTTGTTTTTAACTGATTTACAGAGATATAATTCCCATCCCATTCCCTTCTCCCATTTCAAGTGTACAATTTAATGGTTGTTAGTACATTTGCAGAGTTGTCCAACTGTCCTCCCGATCCACTTTAGAACATTTTTAACCCCTCCTCCCAAAACAGCCCTATAATCCCATTTCCCCTCAACACACCCCCTCCTCCATCTTGGGAAACCACTAGTCTATGCTCAGTCTCTCCAGACCTGCCTGTTCTGGGCATTTCGTATCAATGGGGTCACACAGAGTGTGGTCCTTTGCATCTGGCTTCCTTCACTGAGCATCATGCTCTCAAGGTCCAAGCATGGCATGCCATGTGTGAGCACTTCCTTTCCTTTTACTGCCCAGTATTATCCCACTGTATGCAAACGCCCCATTTTGTTTATCTGCTCACCAGGTGGCGGATCATCTTGCTCTTCTTACCAGCTGCCTGGCACCTCATGTATGGGTGCGCTGATTTTAGTGACCCTCTTCCCTTCTAGGAGGTATGAGAGTTGTTTCTAACTTTCCACAGTTATAAAAAGTGGAAGGTGGGTGGAACCTTTCAGAGGATAGAAGTCCACATTCTGCCGACACACAGGTGGGGAAGTTTCGTGCTAGTGTTTTATTTTCCCTCAATGAAAATGGAATTCTCCCCTAACTACTCTCTCTGCCTGGGAAGCACCCGCCCCCAACTGCCCCCCGCAAGGCGGTCACTTACTCCTCATCAGTCTGCACACAATTATCAAGTTCGATCACGTGGCTCCCAATGAACCAGACCAAATTGGAGAAGTAAGGAACAGCGGTTTTATCTCTGATATAGTGCAGCATGGCCTGGTTATCCACTGAGAAAATTCACAAAAGAAGAAGAAGAAAAAAAGTCAAGCTACCAAAAATAACTGGGGGCGATTAAAAAAAAAAAAAAAACCACAATGAAAAAGCTCTCTGCTATAATCTGAACTTTTTCTGTCTTTCCTGGGAATACTAGAAAAATGGTTATCTTATTCATGAAACCATACACATCAAGGCAGTTCTTATGCTATTTTTATAGTTAATAAAATGAATTAATTGGGCTAAACATTAATAGTGCAATCAGAAAGCCTACTTCTCAGCAATGCATTTAGCTTGACTACAATGGAAACCATGCCATTATTAGGCAAGTTTCTTGTATATTACATGTAAGGATAAGTTAAGAAAGCAGAAAACCAGAAGTTAATAACTTACATGACACTGGAATAAGGAACACGGGAATCGTCATTGAAGGAAAGGCAAAAAACAGACAACAGTTAACAGGGTTAGGAACTGGGATGGTGAGACAGTTGCTCAGAGGGACGGAGGGCTAGGGCAGGAGGCATCTAAAGATATGGGCTGGAAGAGAACAAGAGAGAGGAGAGAGCAGGGGCGGCAGAACTAGGCCTCAGACCAGGGCACAAACTCAGCAGCTTGCTGGGTGGGCTGGTGACTCAGTGAGTGAGGCTGGGAGACCCAGCCTGTGAACTAGGGAGCCCGGGCCTCAACCCCAGGGAGAGGCACTGCTTCTCAGTGCCCACTCACCACTGCCCTACAAGACTGTGGGCCCAGAGCAGCCAAGTCTCTACTTTCAAGTCAGAAAAACACAGAGTGACCCAAGATCTCCCCTGTGTTTAAATACTGGCAACTATGTATCTTTTCAAGGAATACCTAAGCCAATCAAAACACGTCTGAGGGCTGGATCCAGCTCTCCGACTCTCCATTTGGGACCCTGGAGGGGGGACCCACCCAGCTCTTAGGCTCTTCAATTTAGAGCAATCCCACAATGAGGCTGGAGTGAGTCCCTGAGGAGCTCCTCCCACCCCCAATTAGGGGTCATCTCAAGTAATAACATCATAACTCAAAACTCGTGAAGGTCAAAGCCCTTTAGTCCTTGAGAATATGGAGTACCAGCTCCAGTGTGGTGACTCCAGGGCGAATAATCCCAGTGTCAGGCAGAGAAGATGTGCCCTCAGGGGGCAGTTCCAGGCGAGGAAACTTGTGTCCAGCCAGACTTTGTGCCAAGGCGGGCAGGAACCCGTGGAAGGGCTTTCTCCCAGAGGCGATGTTTTGGGCATTAAGTACATCTTGACAAAAGGCAAATTTGTTGGGCTTTACAGTCAGTTGAGAATACAATGCTGCCCCCTGCCGTTTGTGACATCAAATGCTTCTATACATTATTCAAAGATCCCATAACCCCAGGCTGTACTTTAAGTACAGTTTACAGCCTGAAACACAAAAATGTAAATATAACATTCAAAAGACAACTCCGCTTTATCTAAGTATCACATGGCTGCTTGGAGTCCCACACGTGCCTTTCTTAGGATGTTACTACTACCGTGTGTCTGTACGGAGACTTCAACATATAGAACTGAGCGCACGCGAGAGAAGTGGCACAAAACTTCACACAAGGGGCCTGTTAAATGTTCCATGACTACGAGCCTTTCATGAGACATGCAACCCCAGCTGTCATACAGGAGCCCCCTGTCCCCACCGGAGAGCTGTGTATACAGACTCAAGAGAGCAAGCCCCAGCCGTCAGGTTAGAAATCAGACAAGGCCTGAGTGCCTAGGGAAGCTTACCTTTGTAGACGTTCAAAGTTATGGTTCTTACAGCAATTCTAACCATGCTTTCAGGGTGATTGAAAAACTTGATGGCTTCTGTGTACAGGGCAAAGTCATTAGTGTGCTAAAACAAAAGAAGTACCGAAAACGAGTTACAAACCCATAGGGCAGGCCTCCTCCCACCCAGCTTTCCGAATCGTATCAAACAACCATAAAAGCGGAAAAAACCATTATCCCCCATGAAACTCAAGCCAGTGGTTCATTCCCAGTGGGGAATGTGGGAAGGAATGGGGAGGCGAGACCGTCCCAGAACAAATAGAAAAGGGTCCCGACAATGCCAGACCTGGGCTTGTGATCTGTCTTACCACTTCGCAGCTGCCTGCTATAATATTCCTAAGCCTCTGTGCCTTCGTCTATAAAATGGGGATCACAACTCCCACTTCGCAGCTGCTAGGAGTCACTGAGGTGATTTCAGGGGCCGGGGCCTACCACCGGACCTCCCACCTAACAAGCATCAGCAGTGAGGCCGATCGTTACTCTCAGAGGCCACTTCAACTAATGAAAGGCAAGTGTGAAGTTTTACAGCATTCTCTTCTGGCTAGGACACATTTCTCTACTTAGAAATACTAAAAGTAGACACATTGCCATGGAGGAGGAGGGGTTGGGGAATCTGCTGGCATTAAAAAGATACCATCAGAAGGGATCAAAGCAGTTCCGAAGCATAGAACTGCACTGCTGGGGCCTGGATCTGGGCCTAGAGCTGTGCCGGGCAAGCTCTGCTGCCCTCTCCTGGCCAGTGTCCCACATGGCTCTGCATCCCCGCTCCAAGGGCACCCGTGGGCAGTGAGGGCGTGGGGAAGAGGCAACAGCCAGCCTAGAGCACGGTGACAACTGTCTAATGGGGGCAATGACACTTTGAGCACGAGACGTGTACCCTTGGCAAGTGGTAGCTACAACACTGGCCCACATGCAAGAGGAAATTGAGCTCACCTCCCCTGGTGACCAGCAGGATGTTCTTCCAGAAGCATTGCTCTGGTCCCAGAATCGCAGGGTCCTGCCCTCCCATCCTGGGGTACACAAGCCCAGCTGCACCTGAGTGGAGGTACCTCTCTCTGGCCTGAATTTCACCCACCTGGGGAGTCTCTGGCACGATGCAAAGATCATCTACGTGTCTCTGGACATGGTGAACGAGCACCTACCATCTGCCAGATACTGGGCCACACAATGTTAATTTTTCAAACTGCCATACATTTTGTGGCTGTGGTTGACAACTAATGTTTCTTCCCCCGGAGACCAGTTCTTCCCCACTCCTAATCTAGACATGGAAAATCAAGGTTCAGGCTGTTCTTGCTGCATCCCATGGGGACAGCTAGATGGATTTTGCCCACACTCAGAGGGTATGTTTGAGAGGGCGGTCTGATTCTAGAAAGAAGCAGACAGAAGCAGACAGCACTTGGCTGTGTGGTAGCCCACCTCCAGGACGGCCCAGTGACCATCACCGCCTGTATTCACATGCTATCATGCTCTCCCACCCTGGGTCAGGGCCAACCCGTGTGACCTAAATAACATGGTGGGAAAGACGGTGTGTGTCCTCTGAGGCTGAGTCACAAAAGGCACTGCAGCTCATCTTGGTCTCTTGGGTCGCTTGCTCTGGGGAAAGCCAGCCGCCATGCCATGAAGACACTCAAGCAGCCACTGGAGAAGCCTATGGAACCGAGGCCTCCTGCCAAAGGCCAGCACTGACTGGTCTGCCGCAGGAGTGAGCCGCCTTGAAGCAGATCCCCCGAACCCGATCCAGCCTTCACATCTAGCCTTGTGAAAGACCAAGCAGAGCTGCCCTGTGAGGCTGCTCCCAAATTCCCGACACCCAGTGAGGGAGATGTGGCACAATTCTGACCAGGAAGACACATGAGGAAGTCTGCTGGGGGGCTTCTGGGAAAGAAGTGTTTTTGGAAGTTAGAAAGGAACACAAGAAGGGAAGCGATCTCTTCAGGCTTTTCGGCAGTGGCGCATGAATATGTGATGTTTGGAGCTGCTGCAGCCATCCTGAGACCATGAGGGGTTGAGCCTGAGGACGGTTGCCAACTATATGGTCAGCAGAGCAGACAGATGAAAAAGCCTGCATCCTCAATGAAGCGGCGGAGCCACAGGATGAACCGGCGGCCCAGGAGAGCCGACATCGGTACCTTTTGGTATGTGAGATAAACTGAGCTTCTCAAGTTCCTTTTCACCGTGAAAACAGCAGCAACTTATTTACTAAAATTGCTAGTAATTCTCCCAAGGATACCAGGGACATTAGTGAAGGACAGCAATGGCTGTGATTTTAAGGAGCCAGGTATGTACTAGGGGCTTTGAAGACATCATCTCATTTAATTCAACCCCTGGAAAATCCTGATAGGTGTAGATCTTCATCCCCATTCCCAGATGAGAAGACTGAGGCTCAGAGGACGGAGAAGTCTCTGAGGTCATGCAGCAGGGAAGTGGCAAAGCCGGGGCGAACCACAGTGCCGGCTTTTCCCACAGGGCAGCACAACCCCGAGTTAACCTTCAGGCATTTCTCCCTGCCGAGAAGGCAATGCTCTGGGGTAGCACAAACTGAATTTTACATTAGAAACAGAGAGGTGACTTACAAATTAAAAAAACAAAAACAAAAAACAACCAACTTCTTTTTAAAAGCAGGTCAAGGTCTGACAGTGTTGCTATGAAAATCAGGTAAGGGTGAGCATGCAAGTACTTTGTCAACAGATATGAGGCCACCCGGCCTGAAGGTGCTCTTCTGACCGGCTAGCTTTCCGCCCCAATGTACATACCCCTCTGGCACTTACTTACCTCGTTGTAAAAGAAATGGACGGTGTGGTTGTTGAGTTTTAACGAAAGTGTTTTCAGGAACGATATATAATATGCCATAATCTCCTCATCGGAAAAGTCAAACTTATGGACAATGATAGAATTTACATAGTTATTAGAGAGCAAATAATCTAGAGGGAGGAAAAAAAAAAAAAACACAAAACAGATGGGTTAATTCGTGCCGGAGGAAAGCCAAGCAGACAAAGTCAGGTAACAGAGGACTCTGAATGTGCTCGAACCCATCAAACTTCTGGGTCACTGGGGTTTAAAAGGCCAACAGGGAGCAGCTTCATCTTCAGCCAACACAGAAATCAGGCAGCCGCTATGCGCAGCCTCCAGAAAGTTCAAGAGCCATGAGAGAGAAAGGCCCGGGCTACCCCTCCCTCCTACACCAAATAGAAAAAACGTCTGAACGTTTTTTTCCTTGCTGGCAAAGTTCAACATAGAGCTGGGGGTAGGGCAGATGTGCTGGTGTGTGGGCATTTTCACAAACCACCCACACATGAGGGGAAAAAGCACTGTATTTTATTAAAAGCTGCTCCATGTTGCCATCAAGAGTCACACTGCCATCCCTGAATGCGACAAAGGGCTGTGTGTTTTTTTTCTCCCCATAGAGCAACATGATTTCCTAAAAGCTACTTCATGCCGAACCCTCCACTACATGCCCAGCACCAGGCTGAGTGCTTTACATTATCACCACAACAATCCAATCCGGCCCAGCAGGTCTTGTTCTCCCCATTTTGCAGAGAATTAAAAAAAAAAAAAAAAATCAGAGGTTGATTAACTTTCCAGACGTCACAGAGACCGTTAGTCCCAGAGATGGAACTGGAAGTCAGGTCCTAGGTCAAAGTCTGTGTCAATGTCATGCACTAATGGGGATGAATAATGAAGACTGGGTGGCAAGGGCCCGAGGCACGGGGGTCAACTGCAGAACGGGCACCCTCGTCCAAACCCCCAGCTCCTGCAGAAATGCAGGCCCAGCACCAGGGGAGCCTCCAACTGTGTGAGGGAAGCTGGAAAACATCTGAAGGCTGCCCTGACTCTGCAATGGTGGCCACAGGACCAGCTAGTTCTTCATGCTGGACTGGCAGGCAGAAATAAGTCTACAGGTCAGCTGCAGCCTGTGGGCCTGCAGTTTGCAACCCCGGCCTTGGGTCCTTGTCCACGCAAATCTGAGTCCTCCCCAGCCACCCTGCAAAGCGGGTGCTGCCATCCCCACTGTGTGTCCTGTGGGCAGCCAGTCTGTGAATGCTGCACCATCCCACCGCCGCCCCCCCAATAGTTAAAGGCAGAATGGGATCAACACCCACACCTGCAGGCAGATGTGGTAAGGCAGTAAAGCTCAATGGTTGGGAACCTGGCTACTCAAAATCTGGTCCTCAGACCCCACAGCCCAGCATCACCTGGAGCTCATCAGACACACAGAATCTTGGGCCCCAGCCCTGCCCACCGACTCAGATCTCTGGGGTGGACAAGGTACACTGGGCGTGTTAAGGAGCCCTGCTCGTATTTCAGAAGCCTTGCGTTCGAAGGGGACTTGGATCCACACTGCCCCTGCCACTTCTAGCTGGGTGACCCTGGGAAAGCCGCTTACCCTCCCCACTCTCCAGTTTCCTTGTCTAAAAACAGGAATAACAGTACCTTCCCCAGGGGTCTGTTGTGAGGATTAAAGCAGACGAAGCACTATGGACAGTGAGGGGCACAAAGCAAGCATGCAGTAATGGCAGCTACCATGTCTCTTAGTGCTATTACACGGAGACCCCAGAGACCCCACTGACCCTCCAGCCACCAGGGCTGAACACAGTTGGTCTTGGGAGGGAACAGGAAACAGACCGTTATTTCGTGCCAAAGAGGTACCCAACCTAAACCAAAGTACGACTAGAAAGGCTGACATCACCAAACGCACGCCAAAGAGCCATCCAGGAGCCCGGGGCGGCGAGAGGGACCATGGCAGGGCCCACTGCTGGGTTCTCCTCAGAAGCCAGCTCTCCAGGAAAGCCACTGCCCTCAGAAAAGCCTCCTGGGTGTTCTTGGCTTTATAGACAGGCCCTGCAGTCTGTAGTCTTAGCACAGTTTTCTGTACCTCCTGACTAACAATTCCTGAGGCAAATCCTGAAGCTCCAAGAGAGGAGGCAGTGGGTCCGGGCGGGGGGTCCTAAGAATCTTAATTGACTTGTTTAAAAATGACATTACACATATCATAACTCTTAAGTGTACAGCTTGATATATGTGGAAATTTACATACAGGTGAATCTAAATCCAGATACCTATGTATTTATATGTGTATATATAGTGTATACACACACACACGGGTATATACATACACACACCACAAATCTTGGTGTCCAGCTGGATGAATTTTTGCAAACATACACACCACGTAAGGACCCTCCAGATCAGACAGAACATACCTCTAGCTCCGCAGAAGGCTCCCTGACAGCCCTGCCCAGTCAGCCCCCTCTCCCCCACAGCAAGCCCTGGTTTGACTTGAAGCCCGCAGACTCGTACTGCCTGTTCTAGAGCTTCACATCCATGGACCACACGACACGCTTCTCGTGTCTGGCCTGTCACCGGTCACCATATCTGAGAGGTATCCGCGTTGCCGCACGCAGTGGCAAGAATCCACTCCTTTCCTCCGTTTTGCTACGTAGTGCTCTATTCTGTGCACAGTCCACAACCTACACGCCTAGAACCTTAACTTGGAACAAGCAGCCCAGGTGATGCTGAGGCCTAGAGCCCTTCTTCCCCATTCTGTCCTGGCTGTGGCTGGAGATGAATGAGCTGGCAGGAGAACGGACTACGGAGATGTCACGGGGAGCCCCACTGTGACTGGCTGGCGGCTTCCGGGCCAGTAGGGGCACGGAGCCGCTGCCGGCACTTCAGACATACAACCACAGCCTCTCGGCTGCACTCTTGAGCTGGAAAAGCCACATGCTCCCATCATTCCCCAGCGGGGACTTTTCCAGGGCCTCCACAGGATGAACTCTGTGGGTGGTGAGGGCCACCGTGGGGGCAGCCGAGGTGTCTCTATTATTCGGCTGGGATTTTTCTACTACCCCCTCACTGGGTGGCCGACTTTCTGTGGTATCCTTTTCTCAACCCAGGAGTCTCTAAGTAATCTCAGTCTCTCGGGCCCTCTGTGACTTAGGTCACTGAACCCGACAGGCGACAGGTGCACTTGTGAAATGGCTGCTGGTAATAGTGAAAACCCGGAAAGCACCTCGATGACCGTGGGCAGGTTGAAGAGCTCAGGGCTCAGCAAGACGCAGCTCTGGAGCCACACTAGGTGGGGGCACGTGAACAGGCTGCATGAAGATCTGAGATACGGCAGGAAGTCGGAAAACAGAAAACAAATGGCAAAATGCTATGTGTCCACTGGACCGTGAGGGAGAGACTCTGCGGAACTTTTGCTTTCTATATTCTCATGCTGTTTGGTTTTTGGTGCTGTTGTTTCAGAATAAGGACGTTTCCTTCCTATGAATGGAAAATAAAAATGAGAGCCAAAGTCACGTGTCCTCCTCCCCCTACCCCCAAATCGAAGTGCTGTAAAAGGTGGTGATGTCTGCCCCTTCTGCAGGGCTTATAAAAAGCTCTCTGGTGAGTTCTTCCTAAAGACAGTGGCGTCTGCCTGCGTTTCTCATAGCATGGCCCCTTTTCAGTCCTAATTCAAGAAAAGCCATGTGATCCAGAAACTCCAGCATTTTCTACCATCCCAACTACCGTGGCTAGCTGGGCTTAGGCCGGATTACCCGAGAACAGACATTTGGGGGAACGCTGGATTTAACAATGAAAGCAGCTCCAGTGGACGCCTCCATCTGCCAGACCCCAGGCTCCGTTCTGCACATCTGCTGTCACACTTAATCCTCAGACCACTCTATTCCCCAGATACGAGTATCCTCTCCACTTCACAGAAGCAGAAACCGCAGCGGGGAGCGGAGAGTCCACCCCTGGAGCCCACACAAGGCCAACGTGGCAGAGCCGGGCCCGGGACCTGGTGGGTCACAGTCCAGAGCCTGCACCCCCGAGCCGGGTCTTCCCCGCTCGGAGTTTTCAGAAACCGCACACAATTCATATCCAGGGTAACAAAAGCTGTTAACACGGGAAACCACTTAGGGAGAGTGAGTCAACTCATATGTGTCAACTCATATTCGTTGGGAAGTGTGAGCAGAGACTCTTGGGACGGCAGCACCATCTAGTGGCTGCTTCCCAGAGCCACCATGCACAGCCAGGCCTGGGCCTCTCCCTGCCTCCTCTTGAGGGGGAATGCCACCACCTCTACCTCCTTCCACCCACCAGAAACTTTTTCTAAACCCGTCTTGGGGACCTAGAGCCTGCCTTTGACACAGACATTCAGCCACTTGTCTTCTCTTCCCTGCTTCTGGCAGGCAGGGCCTGCTGTAGTTGTCTTAGAGTAATAAAGCTAGAGGTCAAGCACGCAGGAAGAGAAGCTAAACCCGGTTTCTTGCCCTCGGATCTGCTGACAATTTGGGCTAGATAATCCTTTACTGTGCTGTTTGATGTTTAGCACCCCTGGGATCTACCCACCAGATGCCAACAACAACCCACCCCCCACCCACGACCACAACCGAGAATGTCCGCAGGCACTGACAAATGCCCTCCAGGGGCACAATCACCCCCAGCTGTGGACCCCTGAACTAACTCGGCTAGGCCGAAGCCCCTTCTGGATTCTGGCCTTGCTAGAGCTGTCACCACGGGCTGCCGACTGCAAATCCCTGGGCACTAAGTGAGGGCACGGCCCTCACAGGGTGGTTGTTTCAGATGTAGAGCTCGGGCTTAGTGAGGGTAGAGAAGCAGCTCCGAGCCGCACCCTTGCACCCTAGGCAGGCAAGTCAGCTGCCAGAGCCCACACCTTGCACACTCCTGGGCCATTCTTCCTCACCTTGCTGCTTCTAGCCTTTATTTCGTTGGCTGATGATTCAGCGACCCCAACAAGTTATAAAGAAAAAAATGGGAACAGCCCAGAATCACTGAGCAGAGGGGAGCCCTCTCAGCCCTTCACGGTACCACACCACGCAGGGATAAACTTGGTGTTATGGACCGAACTGCATGATACCACCACTCACACCAGGAAGCCCTAACCCCCACTGTGACTACAATATACACAGATGCTTTAAGGAGGTAATTAAGGTTAAACAAGGTCCTAGGGTGGGCCCCAATAAAAAAAAACTGGTGTCCTTCTAAGAAGAAGACACCAGAACTCTCTCTCCACGTGCACACATGCACACACACAAAAACTAAGGCCACACCAGAAGCAACAAGAAGACGGTCATCTACAAACCAGGACGAAAGGCCTCACCAGAAACTACCCCTGATGGCGCCTTGTTCATGGACTTCAAACCTCCAGAACTATGAGAAAACAGATCTCTGTGTTCTCAACCCCCAATCCAGGGCCTTCTGTTACAGCAGCCCAAGCACACAAAGACACAATGTTAAGCACAGACATGCAAAAGCAACACGAAAACCATGCCAAGCTACGTGCTACCAAAGCTCAGTGGTGAGGAGGCAAGTGTCAAGGATTGTCCTTACAAAGTGAGGTCTCGTGACTGATATTCTCAAAGAGGATGTTCAAGGTCTGCAGCAGCTGAACGCACACATAGCGGCCTGACTTCTGTCGCAGGATGTTCAAGAAGAAAACAAACATGTTCTTCTCCAGGAAGAAGCTGGGGAGAGAATGGAAAAGCATCAGTGGTTTGCTTCTACACGTGGAAATACAAATCATCCGGTGGCTATGTGCACAGCACACGGGTGTGGACAGCCCCCGACCCCCAAAGGCATCTGCAGAACAGCTGGATCACCCCGCCTGCAAGGCCCCAGCTTCCCCGCGGACGCCGTCCTCCACCACAGCAAAATGTGGCTTCTTGCGCTCTCTCCCCAGAATGTGAGCACAGTGCTGATCCTGGGAAGCAGAATGGGGAAGATCTTAACGCACTGTGATTACACAGTAATCTACCTGTGCTGAGAAACCCACCAGGCAGCTTTTCCCATCTAATACTCTCTATCCTTAGTTTTCCTTACTAGGCCTCTTTCCTTTGCTTTGCTATCTTTGCGTGTTAAACAGCACCACCTGGAATTCCCTACAAAGGGGCAAGATAATGCTAGTAAAAGTTTCCAAATCTGGGGGGAAAGAACTGGAAGGGATTGAAGGGGCTGATGGGGGAGGGGGGCTACCCAGCCCCCAGGTCAGCTTCTGCCTTTCTTGTTCTAGACAGGACATCTGTCTACATGCAGCCTGGGAACGTGGACTTTTGGGGGTACACGCTGGCTCTTTTAGTCTTACAATGGAGACAGGACCCCCTGATGCCTTTCTTGAAGGGCAGAAAATGGTGTTTCTAGTTATGTGTTCTCTGTATGCAAGCTAAGACCAGGTAGTAACCGCTCCTCTGGGTGACTCAGACAGGTCCCCGCAGTCACGAGTGTCTGTCACTTGGTTCTGGGGGTCTCTCTCCCCTTGGCTGTCAGCTCCATGGTGGCAGAATCATGGGCCTGGCTCTTGCTCAGTGCTGCATAACTTCTGTTTGAATTCATTAAGAGGTAAACGAATAAGCAAACCAGAAAAACAAAATCAAACCTTTTCCAATTCTGATTCTGGGAGCCTGTCTGCCTACAAATGCCATGCACGTTGATCCCCAGAATATCTCTATCATTTGGCCTATTTTGTCTTCCTTTGCTTCAGGTTGAAGTCATCAGTGACTCCCAAGCATCCCCCAACAAGCTCACAGCAGCACCATGACCAACTTGGGAACTTGTTAAAATGTCTGCACCTAGACCTGGCCCAGGGACAGATTCTGCAGGTCTAGCATGAAATCCAGGAGCCTGGATTTTTAAAACTCCTTAGGGGAGGGAGGAGTTCCTTAGAAAAATGGCTAATTCTAGATCTGGGGCAGGGAAAATACAAGATGAGCCTGCAGCATCTTAGAGTACAGGGAAGTAAGGAAGTGCTCAAAAAAACCAGAAGGACGGGGTGTGTCAAGGGACACGGGACCCAAACCTGAAAGAGCCCTCAGTTCCCAAAGCTGGACCTGGAGCAACACAAAAAATAACATGGTATTGGATCCAAAGTCTACTTTAATCCAATAATGCAGTATTGCGTTTTAATTAGTATTAATAACACAGCATTTAGTAACAGTACTGGACACAGTATACTTTAATCCAAAGTATATAATAAACATCCACGAGCCCATCTTGATATAAATAAATCACTGAATAAATAAACGGGAAGAAGAGACAAGTCTTCCGTGCAGAAGAATTTCAAATAATGTATGTAGAAACTCACCCCCCACTTCCAGAAGGTGGAGCTAAATTCCCACGTCCCCACGTGGGCTAAATGGAGCAACTCTCTTTCAAAGAACAGTGTAGGAAAAGGGGAGAAGAACAGCCGACACCACCTTAAGCAAGCGATCAGATTAACCTCACCAGAGAGCAGGTGGATATCGTGACTGCTGATATTGTGGGATGAGAAGCGCACCGTGGTCTTCTTCCCCATAACCCCCAGGCTAATCATGAGAAAGACATCACAGAAACCCAGACAGGGGTAGAGGGCATTCTACAGGACCCTTGGCCAGTACCTCTCAAAGCCATCAAGGTCAGGAAAACAAGACTGAAAATTTGTCACAGCTCAGAGGAGGCTGGGTCGACATGACAACTAAATGCACTGTGGGAGCCTGGGCTGTGTTCCTAGAGCAGCAAGGGGATCTTCATGGAAAAACTGGCAAAATCCAAATCAAGTCTGGAGTTTACTTAACACTAACGTACTAGGGTTAGCTTCTGTTTCCACAAATGCACCCTAGTCAGATAAGATATTAACAGTGCGGGAGATAGGGTGAGGGGTGTTTGGGAACTTTCTGTACCAATCTTGCGACTTTTCTATAAATCTAAAATTATTCTGAAAGATTAAAAATAAATTCTCCTGGGGAGTCATTTAGGAATCGCTGGGCCTCTAAGGGCTCAGCAGTTTTTCTGAGACAACAGATGGGCTCAGAAAGTCTACTCTAGTCAAGGGGGACACGGTTTCTAACCTTTAACCCAAAGGTCATTCACATTTTCAAAACGGACACCAACTAACCGATCGATTCCCTGTGCATCCTCAAAGGATGCCAGCCCCGTTTGCAGACAACACCTCCCCTTTACTCACATTTTCCTTTGGGGAAAAGGCCAGTGTCACAGGTTTGCATTTTCCACAAATAGCTTTATCTTAGGTAACCCTACTGATAAAAACAGAGAGCTATCTGGAAAATCAGAATATCTAAGAAGAAGCCAGGCTGGAAACGGAACACCTTTATTTGTTTTAAATGTGTTTTTTAAGTGGCCTCCATACTTAGAGTTGAGAATATTTCATATAAAAATAAAATCTGTGTTTGGTGGCTGTCATAAGCCAGATCCCTCTGCATTCAGACTCGGAGACAGGCCTACTGGGGAAGCTGCCCACAGCTTCCAGTCTTTGCTTTCTAACCGTCCAGGAGGGACGTCTTTACAAATGATCATGTGCTAACAGTTCTTGAGTGCCTACTCTGTACCAGGTGCTGGGCAGGAACTTTCTCTCTAAAGATGAGGAGGGGCTCCTGGGCAGGTCACTCGGCTGGGCATCCGACTCTTGATTCCCGCTCAGGTCATGATCTCAAGGTCATGAGATGGAGCCCTGCACTGGGGCTCCGTGCTGGCTGTGGAGCCTGCTTAAGACTCTCTCTGCCCCTCCCCCCTTAAAAAAATGAGGAAACTGAGGCTGTCCATGAATGAGGAGAAGCCCCTTCGCCGCTTACCAGCTGTGCGACCCTGAGCATAAATGGCAATGCTCATGACAGGAGGGCCTCCACCCCGGGGCAGCTGGGAGACTTAGATTATCTCATCGAGAGCTCAGCACTGCGCCTACCCAGCAGTAAACACAACAAAGATGAGCTCTTCGTGTCTCCCCAGGGCAAGGTCCCTTCAGTTCACTTAGAAGCTAACTTCCCAGGACATTTTCTCCTTCCTTCGGGGAGATTGTCAGACACTATTTGGAAAATTGTCTATCATGTTTCCAGATTTTTCAAGAGACACTCATTTCCCTGACGTTCCCACTGTCAGCTTACGTTTCTCCAGTGTTTCAAGGACATTTTATATAGATAGAGATACAGATTGAGATCTGCACAAGACCCAAATGGGTGTCAAATCCTGACGTCATCAGGAATGACTCATGGCATACATTCAGAATAATATTCAAAGGAAGGAGAGTCCAAAAACAAAAAACATTGGGAAACCCTTACTCAAATACAGAGCTGTCATTCTGATCTCCCCAAATCAGGATCTCAGTGATGGAACGGATGGTCTCCACTAGCAGGTTCCGGTTCTGTTCTGTGACTGTGGTGTTTTTGGTCAAGACGTGGTACAGATACCTGACAGAAAGGAAAGAAAATGACAGGTTACCAACTGAAATATATGCCAGGTTCAGTGACCACTAGTGACATTCTGGGGATAATCTGGCTGTGCTTTTTCAGATGTGGTTAGCTCAACTCCCATTCGGAGAAGCAACTCACCACCCAAGAAAAATGGCAGGCAATGCTGTAAAGTGTTAACCGGAAACATGCCAACCCAAACAGACACAAGAGAATCATCGAGCTCTTGAAAACGGCCGTCCTCAAACTCCCGTGTGCACAAGAATCACCTGGAAAGCCGGATAAAGTGGGGCTACTGGAGCCCAGCTGGAGACTCAGAAGCAGCGGGACTCACGGGCCTTTTCAACCCCCGGGGTGATCCTGATGCTGCTGAAGCAAATGGAAGCACATGGCCCAGGCCGAGCATCTAGCATAAAAACCCTCAGCCAGGCTGATGCAGAGCTTTAGAAGAAGAGCCCCAGATTAGGGAGGGGAGATCCCAAAGCCAGTCCCTGGGGCAAATATCATGTACAATCAAGACTACCCTTGGGGGGCGCCTGGGTGGCTCAGTTGGTTAAGCGTCCAACTCTTGATTTCAGCTCAGGTCATGATCTCAGGGTTGTGGGATCGAACCCTGAGTTGGGGCTCCCTGCTCAAAGACAGAAAATGGCCCTCTCCCTCTGCTCCTCCCCCACTTGCATGCTCGCTCTCTGTCTCACTCTCTTTTTTTTTTTTTTTAAAGATTTTATTTGACAGAGAGAGAGAGACAGCGAGAGAGGGAACACAAGCAGGGGGAGTGGGAGAGTGAGAAGTAGGCTTCCTGCAGAGTAGGGAGCCCGATGTGGGGCTCGATCCCAGGACCCTGGGATCATGACCTGAGCTGAAGGCAGACGCTTAATGACTGAGCCACCCAGGTGCCCCTCACTCTCTCTCTCTTACATAAAATCTTTAAAAACAACAAAAAAAATGGGTACCTGGGTGATGCAGTCGGTTAAGCATCTAACTCTTGGTTTCAGCTCAGGTCATGATCTCAGGATTCTGAGATTGAGCCCTGTGCCCGACTCTGCGCTCAGCGTGGGGTCTGCTTAAGACTCTCTTTCCCTCTCCCTCTGCCCCCCACCCCGTGCATGCACCCTCTCTCTCTCTCAAGTAAATAAATCATAAAAAAAAATGGAATGCCCATCAGAACTCACAGCTCAAATGAAGTGGGTGGCTTGTAGTTCAAGGCACTGACCTCATTTGCTGGGTACCCGCTGTAGGGGGGTGTCTGGGAGGCTATGGCCCTGAGCTTCACCCACCCAAGTGTTCCTGGAAGGCCTCTGCTGCCCCAGACCTGTGCCTGCCGCTGGGGTAGAGGCAGGTAGACCCAGTCCCATCCTCAGGCCTCTACCAGTGGTCAGGGCAACCAGAAGAATCACTGAGGCCAGTCCTGGGCGATGTGGGGACTAGCGCCTGGCCAGATGCCCTGGGAGTGCCACCTGCACAGCTTTAAGAGCATTGTTGCAAAGGGCAAGACTTCACTCTTTTCTATGGCTGAGTCATGTTCCATTGTATATATATACACCACATCTTCTTTACCCTTTCATCTAGCGACGGGCAGCTGAGCTCTTTTCCATAATTTGCCCATTGTTGATAATGCTGCTATAAACATCGGGGTGCATGTATCCCTTCCAAGAAGACTTGAAGACGCTGACACCCCTGCCTCCTGGCTCCCAAAGGCGCTCCCTCCTCTCCCTCAGGGTTGTCCCTCAATTTTTTTTTAAGATTTTATTTCTAAGTAATTTCTACACCCAACGTGGGGTTCAAACACACAACCCTGAGATCAAGAATCTCACTACCACTGCGCCAGCCAGAAGCCCCCCTCCCTTCGAGTTAGTATTTTTGTATCTGATGTGGATGGAGCTAGAGAATGTAACACAAAGCGAAATAAGTCAGTCAGAGAAAGACAAATACCATTATGATCTCACTCCTATGTGGAATTTAAGAAACAAAACAAACATGGGGGAAAAAAGAGAGGCAAACCAAGAAACACTCTTAACTATAGAGAACACACTGATGGTTACCAGAAGGGGGGATGGGTGAAATAGGTGACGGGGATTAAGGAGTGCACTTGTGATGAGCACGATCACTAAATTCTACACCTGAAACTAATTACACTGTCGACTAAGTGGAATTTAAAAACTTGAAAAAAAATTAAAAATAAATAAAATAAAAAGACAGCATGTCCAGGGCCCAGACTGACTTAAGCTGTCATGGTTTGGGAAGAAAAGGGGGACACCAAGAGGAACTGACTCAAGAAGAGTCACCTATGACTTCTTTTATGGCTACCTTCAGTTTGGAGGTGGGGCTGGTGAGAGCAAGACAGAGGGATGGGATCCTACCATCGAAAATCCCCCCAAATGGGTAGGTTATAAAGAGGTAGAACCTTGCAGATGGAACAGTAAGGCCTAATCTGCTTTAGGGGGCTGGGTTTTATTTAATATTGTTGCTGTTATATTTTAAAGACCGTACAGTGAGTCACTTAATCACTGAATCAAAGATTGCATGCAACTTCTAACACACAGTAACTAGAACAGCTCTCCAAATACAGAAATCTCCACCACCTGCGCCCCAAATCTACCAGCAAGGCTGCACGTGGGCGTGGAGGCCAGTTTCCCCCTGTGCGAAGGGGACTCCACAGCACTGAAGCACCCCGGATGAAATGCAGGAGGACCCACTCGTGAATCTCTGCCTCCACCTCCCCTCCTATGCATTTTCCCCCAAGAAGCTGAGTGGAGTTTTCCAAATTGTGCTTCAAGGGCCCCCTACATCAGAATCCCCCTTCGGCTGCAGATTCTAGCTCCCCACCCCAGACGCACCCACCGAAGCTGACTCAAGTGTGCATTCTGAACCAGCTCCCACTAAGGTTTCGGCGTTGCTGCATCACTCACCCCATGGCCACCAGTGACACTCGGCATGTGGCCCACAGTATGCCCCCTACCCTGCTGGGACAGGCTTCGTGGGCAGCGTCGGGGGGAAGGGCAGATCCTCCCCACTCTGGCGTTTCCCTCTGCGGAGATCATCCACAGCATCCCACTAACACACTCCTGGCCCAATGGGAGAGGCAGTGGCTTTTATGGCTCCGAAGATGCCCAAGAGGGATAGGACGGTTTAAAATCTTTAGGACCAGCCCTGACTTCTAACTCTTGGCATCTCTTGGTGAAGCCTTCTGTGTTGAGAAGCGGAGCTGGTGTGCTGTTAAGGATACGCAGTTGAATGAACAGGCACCAGGCACCCACATGGGGGCAGCAAGTAGCTTCCCTGAGTACGGGCGCTCCCACCTTGGGGAAGTGAAACCCACGGGGTCGTTTTGATTGAAGGTGTAGTTTCATCACATCCATGCAAAGGAGGTAGAGTCACAAGATTTATTCCTTACAGATCCCAGGAGCTGGGGGCCCGGGGTCGTGCAATGAGTCAGAGGATGGGCAGTTCTCCATCACGGGAGATGGTACGGGAGCAGGACACAGCAGGGTAGCAAGCACCTGTTACTGTGAAGTTTCTGTTTTACCTTGCAGTTTGGCTTAGCATACATCTGGAACTGATTTTTCTGTGTATGGTGTAAGATATTGGCTAAAATTAATTTTTTCCATATGGAAATCTAGTTGACTCAGCGTCACTTACTGAAAAGGTCCTCAGTTCTCTCTCCAATGCACTCTAATGTCACCCCTGTCATTTATCAGATGACTGCACTTGTGGGAACTCTTTCTGAATGCTCTAGTTCCACGGATCTATTCGTTTACCTTTGTGCTGATACCACGGTGCCTGATTTTTGCAGCTTTACGATAAATCCTGCTATGTGATAATGGAAGTCCTCCAACTTCTTTCCCTTTGTTTTTTCATTATTGTATTGGCTATTCTTGGCCCTTTACTTTTCCATATAAATTTTAAAATCCCCTTCTCAACTTCCACAAAACTACTTGCTAAGATTTCCTTTAAGATTGCCCTAAATCTTGGGGCGCCTGGATGGCTCAGTCGTTAAGCGTCTGTCAAATAAATAAATAAATAAATAAATAAAAATCTTAAAAAAAAAGATTGCCCTAAATCTCTAGCTAAATATAGAGGGAACTGACATCTTTACAATAAGGTAACATCATGACATTTACATTTCTCTCATTGTTGGCTGGACAGGGTCTGGCACATCTTTTGCTAGATTTATTTGTAGGTAACCGATGTTTTTTGATGCTGTTGTAAAATGGTAGCGCCTGAAATACTCATTTTCTAAATGTCTGCTGTTGGTAGATGCAAACACCCACTACATCTCAACCTCCAAATTTCTATGATGATTGTACCTGTACCTTGCTCATCTTTTCACGCCCCACTATACCCTAGCACACTGTTTTAGGTAATGGGAAAGGGAAGGAAGGAAGGAAGGGAGGGAGGGAGGGAGGGAGGGAGGGAGGGAGGGAGGAAGGAAGGAAGGAAGGAAGGAAGGAAGGAAGGAAGGAAGGAAGGAAGGAAGGAAGGAAGGAAGGAAGGAAGGGAGAGGCCCTCAACATATGTTTGCTTAAATGTACGGGGGCAGGGGGGGGATAGCTGAATGGATTAAGGTTTAATATTTTAACGCTGCACCTAATTCCTGAGCTTTGGAAGATCAAGTAATTCAACTATCTAGAGATATCAATATAGCTTAATAACTTTCTGATTTTGAGCGTAACACTCATTTTAGGAAGGTTGAATGCTTCAACAACAAAAGAGACCTGTCAATTACGCCACTGCCCAGAGATGAGCACTGCTGGAATGTGATCTGTTTCCTTGGGTCTTGTCCTTTGCTGTGGATATTCAGGTAGTTGAGCTCCTGCTGCAGATCCATTTCCCTGCTCATCTTTCCCACCCCCTCTTAGGGTAATAAAAGCATTTTTGTTATTGACAACCATTTGCAAGCATCTATAATGGCTACACAGTTGACAGGACAAGCACAGCAGTTACTCTTCTGCTGGACATTAGGATTCCTCATTGTTTAGATGATCAACAATGTTACCATG